CATTAGAGGCACTGCCCTATCATGGTTATCCAGTTACCTAGAGAAGAGGGACTAATATGTCAGAGTACAAAACCATAAATCACAACTACAGCAGGTTACATGAGGGGTGCCCCAGGGCTCAGTGTTGGGGCCATTACTATTTATTCTGTACATTAATAATATATTTGAAGTGTTAAAAACTGTTAAAACCATTCTTTTCATTTTTCACAGATGACCCAAATGTACTCTGGTAAATGGACCTGCATTTGTATAGCGCCTTTCTAGTACTCCGACCACTCAAAGTGCTTTTTACACTATGAGTCACATTCACCCATTCACACACACACACTGGTGGCCAAGGCTACCATACAAGTTGTCACCTGCTACTTAGTGTTTTTTTTTTTAACACACTTACACACTGATGGAAACATCATCGGGGGCAATTTGGGGTTCACAATCTTGCTCAAGGATACTTCGACATGCAGACTGGAGGAGTCTGGGATTGAAACGCTGATCTTCCGATTGGTGGACGACCCGCGAGGCACAGCCTCCCCTGCTGTGGAGACAACTTGGAACAGCGCCTGGATACCATGGAAAAGAAATGAGCAGGAAAGCTCTAACACTAACACTGAATTTAAGCACAAAAAATCAACCAACTCAGAAAGAAAAAAAACCCATGATAAATGGGACAGAATTAGGAAAAGTATCTGAAATAAAATTTCTTAGAGTATTAAAAGATAACAAATTAAGTTGGAAACAACACATAAATCATATTAAAGCAAAAATATCCAAATCAATAACAATACTGAATATAACCAAAGACCTGCTAAATCAACCATCCCTGTATACATTGTACTGTTCCTTCATATTCCCACACATGACCTACTGAGTGGAAGTATGGGGGAACAGTACCCAGGGGTTGTTCCAGCTGACAGAAAACAGACACAAGTTGAGAGGAACCTGTACATTAAAAAAATTCAGACCAAATGCAAAACATCAGTATTCCAAACAAAATAAAAACTCTTCAAAAACTCTTCAAAAACTCTTCAAAAACTCTCGTTTGTGGACTGTTTGATGGTTTTGATTCGTCTGTTTTGATTATTTTGTTCATGTTCTGTCCAAAAGGGTTGATTTGTTTAAGCTGACCGAGATAAAAAAAATATGGACACTGATGACTGTAAACTAAACTTTTACTTTCTATGATTAATATATAAAAAAAATAAGACCAGAAAAGTTTTTAACTTCTTACCCCTTTTGAACATGAACGATATTATTTGAGTTGCTCATTTGTTGCTTATGTTACTGAGGACCCTGTTTGTTGTTGTTTTTATTGCTTGTAAGTTTTATTTTGTGTTTATATTATTTTAACTTGCTCAATAAATTGACTATAAAGGGAAGAAGAAGAGCAAAAATAAGAGAACACTGGTAAATCTCAGAAATCACTGGGTACTAACAAAATAAAAGCAAATTGTGGATACAAACAAACAAAACTAAGCAAAACTTTGTTCATATTTTGTTTCTTGCATGAGGCCCATTGCTGAGCAATCAGTTAAACTAAAGGATACTGTATATAGAAATACAAGGTGAGAAGTCTTGTTTTTCTAAAGTATTTTTTTAACTCACTTTCTATGGCACTCTTTTAAACCAAAAAAAGAGACAGACAATTTTAAATCTGTGTGTGCGAACTGTGAAGTATGCAATGAATCTGTTACAGCGATAACAGCTGCAAATTAGGTGATATGATACACTGCATATTGGCCTATCAAATGTGAACAAATGATGATCTTTTACATTCTGCACTGCCAGCCCTCCACATAATATTATAGCTGTCCATCAAAGTGAGTGGCATGCTGTGCCTTATCATAAGTGATGGAAAAGGGAAAACAATTATTCCTCTTTGAGGCACAGTCTACATGATGATGAGATATCATTGTGACAGTGCTGTCATTGTGCCAGAGGACAAAGACACACAAGAACTCTAAAGAATCAAAGTCTACTGTTATTTTCATTTCTTTTTCCAAATGCATGACTGCTTAAATTATAGTTCTTTATATCTAGACTGTTAAATATGAACATAGTGAGAAGGAAGAAAAAAAAAGCAATTACGTCTGCTCATATTTTTGTCTTTAGAGGAGGAATTCTGATGTCTAAATTCAAATGTATCACCATTTGCTAAACTATTTGCTGTTACGCTGAGCATCCTAATGAAATATGTAAATTTACTGAGAACCTTTCAATGTAATGTTGCTGTAACATAGATTAATATGTTCCATTAATATGTGCGGTAATGTGATCAGCTTTAACTCAAGTACAATATCTGTTAGACAGACAGTTTGCGTCTTCCACTAAAACTTTCAGGACCACTGGCAGCAGACAGCGTGAGCTCCTCTCCTCTCGTTCCTTTGCTCATTTTCTGGTGTGTTCATTAGGCTGGCTGTCAACTGCTGAATTGCTTTCTCTATCACTGTGACACAATCAGTCAATCCATTAAGATGACAATATCATCTCTCCAGGTGCAGAATAGAGATGGACAATTTCTTTGTGAAAGGCAGGATGTCAAGGCCAAAGCCATTTTCTCAGGAAGGATGAAAACTGACACGCAACGCCACATCTGTTGGGATCTTTTCGTTGGTTTAAATGCACAGGGAGCATCCTGCAGTGTGTTCCACAGTTGAAATCTAAGTCTGGAATTTATTTTTATTTGCACCTATAGAACAGAGATTGATCCTGTGTTCAGTTTCCATCAGATACAGCCAAGCAGCTACCAAGTCTGATGTTTAAGTGTGCAAATGCCAGTCAGTAGACAAATTTTCATCCTGATGTGTTGAACCCTGATATGCCCTCTGATTGCCAATACATGTAAAACACACACACAAACACACACCTGTTGGGAGTTTCTCAATTTTTTTTAATAGAAAATGTTTGTTCTTATATTCACTGTAGTCGTACCATGATAGCTCTCCCTGTGTGTATTTATATGTATATATTTTTCAAAACAAAAAAATGAAAATTTGTTTTAATAATATAACAGGCGTTCCCTTATTGGGATTTAACATAACTCATTTTCTCCGGAGCCTTTGTGCTCCACTCCACTGTCTCTCGGGTTAACTCATATTGCAGCGGTGCCTGGATAGAGTGACATGTGTGGTTGTGCTGCTGCCGTGGTCCTGCCAGATGCCTCCTGCTGCTGCTGTTATCATTAGTCATACTTCTACTGTTAATATACACATATGATTATTGTCACATATGTATACTGTCAGATACTAATATATACTTTCAATATATTGTACCACAGTAGCCAGAACTATAACGATAATATTACTACTTTCCTTAATGTTGTTGTAAGCTACTGTCATTACTGTCTGTCCTGCATCTCTCTCTCTCTCTCTCTCTCTCTCTCTCTCTCTCTCTCTGTCTCTTTATTATGCTGATCTGTTCTGTACGACATCTATTGCACGTCTGTCGTCCTGAAAGAGGGATCCCTCCTCAGTTGCTCTTCCTGAGGTTTCTACTATTTTTTTCCCCTGTTAAAGGGTTTTTTTGGGGGAGTTTTTCCTTATCCGCTGTGAGGGTCATAAGGACAGAGGGGTGTTGTATGCTGTAAAGCCCTGTGAGGCAAATTGTGATTTGTGATATTGGGCTTTATAAATAAAATTGATTGATTGATTTTTAGAAGGATGATTTAGACCCACTTTCTGTACTACATTCATTCATCTCATTCATTATCCATAAGTGCTTATCCTGGTACAGGGTCACAGGACAACCATTCACACTCACACCCACACCTATGGGTAATGTAGAGTCACCAATTAACCTAACCTGCATGTCTTTGGATTGTGGGAGGAAGTTGAACATGCAAACTCCACACAGAGGGTGGAAGCTTGCAGGTGGATTTGAACCCACAACCATCTTGCTGTGAGGTGAAAGTGTTAATCACTGCACCACCATGCTGCCCATCTCCTGCTCAACCCCTTCTGTTTTGCCTCTAACTTAAAACAAAATATTTTTTAATGTAGGTGATGGAGACAGATTTATGGGATGATGAATTTTGATGTGATCTTTTACACAGTAAGATATGTTTATTTTGTAGTATGGTCTTTGTAATACTATTTGTTCCCTGTATATCTTTGTTTGTCTGTTTTACCACCCTGGGGGTTCATACCTGGTGATTTACTGTGAAGTATTCAGGCTTCTTTCCATCCATTGTCCTTTCTTGATTATTCATAATTTAACTCAAATGTTATTTGTGGTAATATATTTAATTTTATCGTGCAATGTTTGTCACGACGATTAATTAATAGTTCAGAACACCTGTAAAGTGGAGTTACATGCATAGTTGAGAGTTCCAGTGCTCTTATACTGTAGATCAGCAATTATGGAATGCCTCCTGTCCAATCAAAATGCTCGGTTGGAATTGTTAAATAAAAAAAATAATACATATAATTGTTTCCAACTACTTAACAAAAGTGCAATGTTAGAAAAAGGACCTAAGAAATCTTTATATCAATGCCTGGGCATTTTTAAGATTTTTGAAAGTTTAAGACATATTAATACCAATTTGAGGCCTTAATTTTAGATTAATGAATTCATTGACTTTTAAGACTTTTTAGGATCTGCGGGAAACCTGTAGATTGTTAACCACACCTGCCATCACAAGGCTGGTCAGCCTATTGGTGTTAATTATATAAAAGTGTGGTTTCAACTTCTCAAACATTTTGACCCAATGAGAATCCAAGCAGGACCAGAACACTGTCTGGATTTAACTTTTGTGGCATGGTGCCAGGGTGCAGACATTTCCTTTAAGGAAAAAAATACATAAATACCAGAGTGTTAAATTCGTTCACAAACTTACTTGAGATTTGTACAAAAACATTTTCTCAAGTGGGCTCAAATTGTGGAATGAGAGGAGATATTATAAGACAGTCATCAGAAAATAAAGACTGCTCCAGCTGAGTGGTGTGACTGAAGCTGAACAGATCTTAGTCTTCACACTGAAAAGTAAAACACTTAATAATCCCACAGATGTTATAAAAGTAACTTTAATTTCACATTTTATTTCCACACACAGTTATATACTTCCACACAACATACAGTATGTTTTTGGACTATTTCCACTTAAATGTCAACTCAGGAATAATCGCTCCTTTGATCCTTATATGACAGATAGCATCCTGCTGGTGCTGCAGTGCACTGTGGAAAATGACATCAGTTTAGGAAACATGAAGCTGGCATCCTGTCAGCCCACAGAGCACTTCCTGATGTCAAGGGACATCACTGACAGGTATGACATGACTTGGTGTTTAAAATAAAGCCATTACTACAGATGACCATCACTTCCAGAGGAGCAGCAAAAACACAACTTCTTAAAGTCAAAGAGCATCTGCAGCTTATCAGAGAGGCCTTGAGCTGCTGAGGTCTATGGTGTGTGTTTAGTGTCTGTTATCTTCTCGCTGTCTGCACCCACTGACTGCAGCTCTGCCAACATGTCTGTTAGTTTCAGCTTGAGCACTGCATCCCTGGACTCTGCTGACACCTGCAGGACAAAGACAGTACTGTGATCATGTGCTCCAAACTTCAGGGAGGGCCACCTACTGCAACAACACTCAGAGCTGAGTTGTTGTTGTTTTTTTTTGTTTGTTTTTTTTACTGATTTTAAAATTGTTACTTGCTGGGAATATATCACTTTCCCCAGGATTCATAAGATTTCAGTTTTGAACACAGAACTGTAGATAATCACTAAATTGTGTCATTTCAGTTTATATGGGAGTAGAACCACATTTTGGTCTGTCATGCAACTACTTTTGTTGGATGATATACTGTCCAAGAAATAATAGGAATTAATAAAATTACTGTGATTTTGAGAAGATTTTACGCCACTGATATAATGACAGAATGAAAATATAGGCGTGTTCACATAGTGTTTTTCTATGGCAGAAAAGCAGTGGCAGAGTACAGCCACACACACGCACGCTAACTACAGTCACATGCCGTGTACTAGTGGCACACTCAAAACGGTCCAAAAGTTGAGTGTGAAATGATGTACACTTCTCACTCTAAACTGTCATCATCTTTGGGACAACAATTTTTTTTTGCATGAAGTACCAATAGAGGTCATCAGTAATGTTTAATGGATCTGTAATGAGTTGGTACCACAAACAATATGACATAAGCTTGCTAGCTTATGTTAGCATTTACTAGCTAGCTAACTTAGCTACTAGCTACGGCAGCACATTTTAATCAGCATAGACACTGAGGCCTAAGTTTTGTTTATGTGTAGACAGCAATAGTGGTCAAATGTTGGCAATAATGCTTCACCGCCCATTTGCGATTCACCATTTAAAAAGAAGGCAAAGAAGAAGAAAAAGAGGTGATTTAAAAAAAAAAAAGCCTTTGTCATTTCTGGTAAGTGCAAAACAGCAGTGTGCGATTTGAGACAACAATGCCCTGTTGAAATTAGTGGACCATGCAAGAAGTACACAGTGTACATAGTGTGCTACGTTTAAGTAAGTGTACTAAAGGAAGTATGGGATTTGAAACACACTGCTGGAATCCAGGTCAATGACAAATTGTTTGTATTTCCTCAAGTGAACAATTTACTTGTAGTCATGGTTGTTAGTGTAGAAGGAAGGTTGTGTAACTTTTTCATTTCATTTCAATATCTGTCATGGTTCACTGAGGATTATGGATTAAATAATTAGCTTGTTCTACATCCAAATAGGCCTACCTGTAGACTATATTTGGAATGTCTAGGAATTAAAAAAATGCCAAAATATCACAAATACCTGTCTGCACTTGGCCATAGTGGAAAGGTTGGCTGATCAATAAAGATGTGATAAAGACTGATAGACTGTAATCTTTAGATAAACTATGACAATGTGGAGCTGCAGCAGAAGACGCACTGCATGAGTCTGAGGCTGTTTTGTGTATTTTGCTAGGTATGGTACAGACGGACGGTGTGTTTCTCCTGCTGACCAGAAATGTGGACTTTCCTTTTGGGCACACACTCTACTCATCCCTACAAACTGTTGGCGAGTTGGTTTGCGTTCAACATCTCCATGACAATGCACAGAGCTCACCGTCATTTACCGACTAATACTGGAATATTAGTGTGCATGTAAACACAGTCGCTTCAATTCCCACTGATGATTTGACTCATTGATGATTAGGTGGCAGCCCTCGTTAGTATGATACTTTTAGCGAGACTCTTACAGGAGCAGTTCCTCTCCTTCTCAGCACGATGCCTTCTGAGAGAAAAGCCTTCCACGTCTCTTCAAACAGAGCGGAGTCATCCAGATCACTCTGGCTCTTTAAGTCCATGTACTTCTCTACAAACCTACAGAATTAAATTGAGAGAATAACAAACATTGAGTGACACTGGAATGGAAATAATATGTTTCATGTAACACACAGTAATCTCTTTTACTGAACTCGTTTGTTTTTTAAACCTTTAACTTGTTGTGCAGCCACCACAGATTCTGGCAGGGTAAAAACCATACACATCCAAACGAGTCCCCTTTTCCTATCTGACAGTTGCTTTCATGCTTTTATATTATAAAGTTTATTTTCACAAATCACTGCCAAACCAAATAAACATACCTTTGACATGTAGAAACAAAGTTTGGTTTGGACAGATCAAAAGCCCAGGGACCTGTCCCAAAGCACTCATAGAACTTCCTGAAAGACAGACAATTACGAGTGAGTGGAACCTGTGAAAACATCTTGCAGCAACTTTTAATGCTGACATGAGCAGCAGCTGATTTCCATCCAAACACAAGCTTGTAAATTCAGATGAGCTCTAGTAAAATGACAAATTTCACTTAGACTACATTCCATAAAACTCATTATTACAGTAAATCACCCAATATGTACTGATGGGATAGGTGAGTATGACAGGATAGGAGGACAATACACTTTATTAGCAATGGTTCAACTCAGACTGTTTATTATGTGCCAGGGATAAATCTAAATTGTAAGGAGACACTGATATTACATTAATATTCAGGAAAAAACAACAACAGCTGTGCAGAATCACACAGCAGGGGACACACTGTGTAGCCAATCTTTGATTTGTGTGAGGGAACTACATCAGTGCCATTAGCAGTCCTAATTTCATTGTTAACTATGTTTATTTGCATTCAGACTATAAGAAAACAGACAGGAGAGATGTGTATGTCTTATCTAATAACTAATCCAATGATGAAACTGATGAGACTTTTAGGGGATCTAAGGTGTTGCTTAGATAGTGAGCAGGGGAAGTGACCCTCCTTCCAGCACTGATGATGGGTGAGACAGAGATAAACTGTAGGTTTGTGAGAGAACTGAGATCAGAGGGATGTACCACAGAGCCAGCTCAACAAAGCCAGGCTTTTTATGGTTTACCTGGCTCAGCAAACCCTAAAGGCTCAGTCAGAGGTAACCTGACTAAGTGTTAGTCTGAGATAACCTGACTGAGATTAGACTCTGTTTAGCCAGGCTTTCTGCTTCAGGCTCTGTGCAAATTACTACAAAATGAGTCAAGGGACGCGTTCAGCACATCATTTAACTCTTAAAAATTATTAAGCCAAGCTGCCTCCTTCCAGTTTTGAATATAAAAAAAATATTACAGTAAAAAGCAATACTGTTTCTTTGATTGAGGCAAAAAAGGGATATTGGCTTTATACACAAAGTGGCAATTTGTATATCAGTTACTAAAGGTTTTTTAGACAGTTTTTTTTGTGTGCATCCGATCCGATACCGAATCCTTTATTTTGAAACCGAGTCCAATACTGAGTCCGATCCAATACTTTGCAAAGATTTAAGAAAGAAAAAAAAAGAATGCATCCAAGTTGTCCCATAAGGTTTGTTTTTATTTAAATAGTATCCAAAAAGCTTATCGGTGGTTGAGCAGCACAAAATGTAAACAAATTCTGAATTGTAAACAAATTGTCCCTCCAGAGTGGCCCCTGAACCAGTTGTCACGACTCCTGTCCATTTATACGATACAATACAATACACCTTTATTGATCCCATAACTGAGAAATTCCAGTGTTACAGCAGTCAAGGAGAAAGAGTATTGCTCATTAGTTGCACTCAGTTAGGAGAACCCAGGACACTCGGTTACAATACATCGGAAAGCGGAGGCAACAATGAACAACATAGATGAAAAACCTGACCATTTTTGTTGTTTTGATTCCTCTGATCTTTTATTACCGATTCCGATTTTGTAAAAATAACGAGATTGGTGCCGATACCCGATCCGAGGATCAGGACATCCCTAATTTGTGCTGTATTAGCGTAATGCATAATGTTACACATTCAATTCACAAGTTATTACATGACTGATTGGTTAAACAAACATCAACACAACAAAGGTTAAATAGAAAATTCCTTCCATTACTAGGACAGGTTGCAGTTGCTCTGCTCTCTCTCCTCTCGCTGTTTGCCAGTGTAATGTTATTAATATGTATAATGTGAGCAGTGCAGCGCATCTCACAACAGAAACAGTCACAAAGTACTTTGTAACATTATTTATTAATTTGGGGAAATACGCTCAGTAAATTCATGTTTTTATCACAAATATACATGTCAGTATTTGTTATGGATGGTCTACCAGCTGACTTTGATATGACATGTTTTAATTTTGCGACAGCCATGACGTAAATAATGACGCCGTGAAAATGACTAATGTCCAAAAGTGTTTTTTCATGATGCAGATGAGCTCACTACATAGTCCCCTACACAGAACACCCTATATAGTGAGTAGGGAGTAGTGAATCAGTGAATGATTTCAGACGCAGCCAGAGACAGTATGTAGGTGGTATGGAAGCATAGCATTTGACTTACGCTCTGACTTCATCCTCTCTGTAGAAGATTTCAGGAACAGTTTCCTGTGTCTTGGTAAAGGCTCTGGTGTTGGGCTTCACATGAAGTGGGTCCCTCTTGGGTGGAAAAGCCTCATATACATCATACCAGATGGGTTTCTCTGATGGCTTTATGACCCCAGAGCGCATCAGATCTCGAACCCTGTCCATCATGCAAGCACACAGTTGGAAGATTTAGGTGGCCTTTGAGAGTAATATCATTAACTGTATAGCACAGATTTACACAGAGATAAATAATAATCACATTGCTGTCTTCAAATCAGAGCTCAAGAATAAAAATGTTGGGCTCAGGTGCATAAAAATTCTAAGAATGACATAATGATGTTCTTTATCTTACACTGTGATCACTATTTAGTGAGTTTAGGAACATTCTGAAGACCCCATCTGACAAGTTCTTAACATACAAACACAGTCGTGGAATGTAAATACGATGATTTTAAACGACACTTCTTTAACCTTACTGGTCAAAAAGAATTTTTGTAGGAGAGTCCAATTCTTTTTCCAGCATAGGTTATCTACAAGGCTATTCCAAAAGGCTACACCAGGTGAACGGATCTTAGTTGTTTTTACAACCTGAGGGTTTAAAACACACTTTTCCAACTGGTGAGTCAGTTACATGCAGTGAAGCAACATCTATATCAGAAGCTGATATCAAAGTACAACTTTTTAAAACAGCATAGATACACCAGATGGGATAGCATCAAAGACTATGGCAAACTGTTTAGGAATTACAGGTATCTGACATTGATGAAGAAATTTCTGATAACTGAACAAAATACCACTACTATTAAATAACTGATTCACCCAAACAATGTTATTATTGAACCCTTCTTTGAAAAATAGAGATCGTTGTTCCATATAGAATATCGGTGCGGTGTGCTTGTATATCATAGACCATGCAGTCAGTGCTTGTTTGTGGAAGTTAGAAAGACACACAGGAATCTTTTCAATGTTATGAACGAGCCTATTGTTACTTTTAGTAAAGTGAAATATCTGACGACTTCTTCCACTTCCGCACAAACATGACGTCAGTCTTGGTCGCATGCCTATGATGTCATCACACCGTGTCCTTACACTCGTGTGACCGGTCATGCTCTTTGAGACTGACATTCATGTACCATTAGCTCATTTCAGCTTTGTTTCGTTGATATTCATCAACAGCCTGTGATGTCTGCTAAGGTGACTTAACGTTGCCGTCCTGACCTAAATGCTGTGACCGCTGGCTAACGTTAATAATACCATCGCTGCTGCAGGAGAGTCTGTTCAATGGAGGTTGCAGAAAAAAAAGCCTTTTTTACTCAATGAAGCAACACGATGTTTTTCAAATAACCAGCTAATTAACTCTGCTCAACGACGGCGTTTATTGTGCCGCAGATGGTTTTAACAGATCAGGCATATGGCTAGTTAGTTACCAAACGCTTCATAAACACCATGTGATCTGCGGCTATCTTACCTGGAGAATACAGTCCCAAACTTCTCTAGTCTGCTGCCAGCCATCTTGGTTTGTCATCCACAGCTGCAGCTCTGTAACAAAAGAGTCACGGATGTATTAGTATTACATCAGTGTCTTAAGCATCTTTAACGTCTACTACCTACATTTACAAGACTTCCGGTCGACTCGAGCAGCTTCCTCTTCTTTCTCGCATTTCCGGTAGACTATCAAGGCTATTCAAGAGAAGGCTGAGACACGGGGTCAAACATGGGGGGATTGCACATGCGCAGTGTAATTTGAGCTGCGATTCTGGAGGGTGCAGACCAGACGTTACTGCGCATGTGCAATCCCCCCATGTTTGACCCCGTGTCTCAGCCTTCTCTTGAATAGCCTTGTAGACTATCTGTTTTGCGGCACATTGCTGCCTCTCACAGGATGTAATGGTAATCCTGTCATCACTGTTGGGTGGAAGTTCAACTTTATTTAAGAGGAATTGGGCAAACAATTCAGGATAAAGACATTTTAAAGTGTTTTCAAAGTAACGAGGTGGAAAAACACATTCTTATTATTCTTTTTCTTATTATATCATTGTTGTTGCTGATGTTGTTTTGTTTGTTTGTTTGTTTGTACAGTTAGTTTGATTATATGGGAAATTCCACATTCACAAGAAGAGGTGGACGTACTCCAGACGGGATTTTAAACTTTTCTATAAAAAACTACAACATCAGGCACGAGCATAGCTAGACTCCAGGTGGTGCTCAAGCACCTGCCCTTTTGCCCTCTGACTAGATAAGTGCCCTTTTTGCAAGACATATTTTTCTATTTCTTTCAATGATCCAAGATTTAATTTGTAAATTTGGCCTGTGGCATCAGTTCTCAATTAATAGTGTGTTTTGTGCCCAACAACTGCATCTGAATCGAACCCCTGTCCCTCCCTCTTGAACTTAACTTGTTGTCACAGCCACCACTGATAATGCATGCCCATCAAGCTCCCTGCAGAGCAGCATCACGTCTCCCTGACGTGTCTTCATGGACAGCCAGGTAATGATAGTGTTTGTTCTAAGCCTCAACACTGTTTGTGACTGTTGTTCAATTAAACCACTATTAAAACATCTCAATACAGCCAGACTGACTTAGACAACAACCCACTATTAAGTTTAACAAAAGGTAGGCTAGTCTGATGTAAAAACCACACTGTCTCCCGCCAACTTGATTCCAGTTCACCAATATTGCAATATCTGCCTCCTAGGAAGGATTAATTAATTTGTATTGGCTTAGAAGAACCACAGAATCTGTCAAGTCCTCAACTCACAATCAAGTCATGGATGTCCCTCCATTCTGCATGCAGTCCCACACCTGTATGGAGGCAGAGTTTGCACTCCGTGGACCTGGAAAAGGTTCAGCTCTGCCTTGAAGAGTGCATGTTCAAGGACATCCCATGTGACAAAGACTTGTTCGATATCTGTATCGACTTGTCGGGAATACAATCTGAAACTAACAAATGCTGTGTATGTAACAATTAACCTTTATATTAAACTCAGAGAGCTCATAAACAACAAACTAGAGCTATATTATTAACTTTCATGGTCCTGTGTGACATTTTGTATTTTAGATATGATATTTTCCAGTGTCATTTCAGGACAAGTTGACATTTACGTAGTGATTGCAGTCATTGTCAAAATTAGATGTTTTAACCTGTGATGAAATATATAATATATGAAATATATTTGTAACTTTTTAGGCACATCAAAGATGTTTCGAAATAGTTTTAACTCTAAGAAAACATGTACAAAATGCTTTGTTGTCAATTAACTTGTGTATTTGTAAGAACTGAATTAAAATTCAACATCCACACATGTATATTGTAATATTTAAACAATCACAGCAAACAAAGCTGCATGTTTTCATTTTAATGACAATTTAATCTCACTTGCAACAGCCGGGAGCCTGCAATAGTAAACCATATAGGCTCATGGAATGGCTGGCAATGCCAAGCTGCCTTTTACTAAATAACAACAGTACCTGAATAGACTAAGTACAAGCGTGCCTGCAATGTGAACCTTGAAAATGTGTGAAATTTTAACAAGATTAGAATTTTATGCAACATACTTTCTTGTTTTAAACAAAAGATTCTTATCCAAAAACAGCCACTCAATCGCACAGGATGCAGTTACTCTCTCAGCTCCTCATCTGTCATGAGCTACAACACTGGAATCAATCTAAAATGAAAAAATATTTCATGAATTCTTAGGTCAAATGATTTACAGAGTTCTTCAAAACGTTTTTTTTGTTATTTGTTTATGTGATTTGTCAAAATTAAGCTTTCTCTGTGTATAATAATTACCTTGTCCTTGACCATTCGCTGTATGTCTTCCTCAGGCACATGCCGTGACCTCAAGTAGTCGCCTAACTCATCCATCTTGTGATCTTGTAAAAAAAAAACAAACCTCTGCACCCCTGTTGAATAAGTATAATGCTTAAATATGACCTTAAAGAGTAACTAAACCCTAAAACCATTTTTTTCAGCTGATAATCATTGTTTCTGGTTGTATAGTAGTGTTACTGACTGATCCTGCTCAAAATCTTGACAGTTTAGTGCAAACTGTTGAAAATCTACATTTTATTTTAAAAATGTGCTATGGAGTGCCCTCTTCAGCTTGAAACCTGGTTACTACATTTGAATTTACATTACATTACATTTGAGGCGAATGACTCTTTTTCGATGACGTCACTAACGTCCACGCTAAAGCCTGCCCTCCTCCCTTTACTTCTCCCCTTACTATAAAACCGTTCTGTCCGCAGTTATCAAACCGACAGCGAGTAGGTTGGATCAGGGCAGAGACAATAGCTGGTAATTTGTCGAATTGTATTGTTAGCATAGTGTTTTTTAGTGTAGGTTTACAGTTACTAGTGTGTTTATAGTATTTAGGTTAGCTGGTCAAGGAGAGGCGCCGAGGCTCGGGAGTATATGTGCGGGGCGGCGACGGAGGGATGTGGAGGGCCGCTGCGCCGTGAGAGAGAGCCGAGCCTCGGGAGTATATGTGCAGGGCTGCGAGGGAGGGAGGGGTGGATGGATGCGGTGGGCTGCTGCGCGGTGAGCCCAGGCTCCCAGAGAGGGAGAAATAGAACCAAGTAGGATAAAATAAGTCAAAGTGTGGAGAAGGGGACCGACCGAGCTCCAGCCGCCTTCCCTTCTGCCCGTGTGACACAGTTAGGGGCGGTTTTCCAAGCCACCATCGGCACAATGAAAATAAGCCAAAGTGTGGAGGAGAGGGACCAGGTAAAAGAGGCCGACCTCCGGGGAAGCCCTCTCCCCTCTCCCCTCTCCCCGCAGCGAGGGACCGCTCTCCAAGGTACCAGTGCTGGGCTGGGTGAAAATAAGCCAAAGTGTGGAGGAGAGGGACCGGGTAAAGAGGCCTGACCTCCGGGGAAGCCCTCTCTCCTCTCCCCGCAGCGAGGGATAATCTTCACTCTGCCCGCTTCCTCAGCCGCTTGCAACTGTCTGTACTGTTCCTCCTCAATGCTTCACAAAACTGGGGTCACGTTGTGCATCTGCTGTAGCTAATACACTGACTATCAATAAGTGCCTCATACAACCACACTTCATAAAATTTGAACTATCCCATTAATATTTAAAATAACTCACTTTTCTGGTTCTCTAATCTTGTACTCCACCCCCATTTTGTAGCAACAACGCCTAAAATGACATACCTAGTCTGGGGCCGTTAGTGGCCGTTTTGGTAAGGAAACGGAACCAGGTCGAGTGAGACAGGATCCGGAATTCAATGGATGTGCCTTTCCGTAAAAATAAAAGCACCAAGCTAATGAAAATGCGGTGAAACTTTTAATTTAAAGAATATAATTTACAAGAAAAGCCCCAAGCCATTAAGTTAATCGATTTTCTTACACCCCTCATCACCCCAAATCGATGGTGCGCCAGAATTTAAAGTTTTACTATGGTGAACACTTTTAGTTTGGTGAATTTGGTGAATACCGCATCCGCTCCCTAGACCGGAACCAGAATCCAGACAAAATTCAGAGTGAATAGACACCTGGTGACGCGAGGCTATGACATACCCAAATTAAAATGACTGTAGCTTCTGGACAGCTCTGACTACATAACTGTCTGTGGCTTCATCTGAGCAGGTAAATGACCTTATGGGGCTGTAGGCACACTATCAATGAACACTTGTTTCAAATTTGAATAAGAAAGCACAAAGTATGACCATTCTACAGTGTTTTTTCCATGAAAAGATCCAGGCAGAGCTCGAAAAGACAAGTTGGTCATTCGGCTTCAAAACAGTACTGTCAGTGATCAAACAAGACTCATTGACATCAGGCGTGATTGTGATAGCTGATGTTGTTTTTGACACAGAAACACCATAAAATATCACCAAATAAAGCCACATGAAACGTGAAAGTTATGATCCCACTTTCTAGACGGTGTATCTCAGCCAAAAATAGTGGTAGGAGTGAGACTCTTACCTTTTATAAAACAGCTAGGCCAATAAGGCTAAAAACCCGCAGAAAAACGGAACCTTGTAGAAGACAAAAGTGGATACAGGCAATAAAATGTGAGGCTTCAACAGGGAAGAAATTGTAGGATCCTGACACTCGGTATGCCTATGTGTGCAGCAAACACTTTGTCAAACCCTACAAATGTGTTTTTTAGGGGTCATCCCTATGTTTCCAGGGTTCTATGTTCCCCACTTAACCCTGCAAAAAAGCTTCTATCTTCCCCGCTTACACAAAAAGGGTTCTATGTTTCCCGCTTGGTTGAGCGGGAAACATAGAACCCTGGAAACATAGATACACTCCCGTTTTTTAGAGTAACAGTTAACTGTATTTATGTATGTTAAGCTAAAGCATTGACAGTATGAATGCAACTTCTATTATATTTGTGCCCAGCGCTCCGTGATTCAAGCAGTCCATTCCAGCAGGCTGACAGCTGAGCATGCCGAAATGCTCATCTTCTTAAAAAAGAATCTCCACATAATGTTTTTTCCAAGACGAGCAAGGTAAGGAGAAGGGACACTGAGGTAGACCGGCAATATTAAGCTTATCTATATACCTCTCTGGTAGGCATAGCGTGCTAAAATAATCCTTTGCCATCTTATTATTAGCTAATTATTAGCTAGCTATAATTAGCTATCTATAGCTAATAATTGTAGCTAGTAGCTAGCAATTCAGTAGTGGAAACTTAATGCGCGGCTGCAGAGGCAAAATGACAGTGAACGATTGAAGAAGCGGAGG